AGCACGGATCTCTGTAAGTTCAAGGCCACCCTGGGCTAGATGAGACTGCATCTGTCTAAAAGAGAAACAGAGCTCACACAAAGGGGATACCAACCCTTGGGATCACATGTCTTTAATCCCAGCACTAGGGCGGTGGAAAGAGGAGTGATATGGTTAGGCTGAGAGAGAGGATTATAAGGGGGGGAGGAGACAAGCTCTGGGCAGTCTGAGGATTCGTAAAGTTTGAGGTTTCCTAGAGAGCAGCAAGCAGTCTGAGGAGCAGTCAGTCTGGGGATGCATTCTGAAGTAGTCAGTCTTAGGATTGCTCATCTGGTCTGAGGATTCTGTAGAGGTAAGAGGTCTCTTATGGCTTTAGAATTCATGCTACAGTTGTGAACCATAATGACAATGGGTATGCTACTGTGCAAGTTCATGAGCTAATGAGGGAGGTGAAGTGAGATGAGGAGGTGAAGAGGCACTATAAGTGAGCATGACTGCCTCTTTATCCCAGGGTAAACACTTGTGAGTTGTTTCTGAAGTTTATACGTCAGAGACCAGTCCGACCTACATAAGATACTAGAGATACTGGGTAGTAGAAAAATAGTCGTTTTATTTTGGACTCGAGTGCATTTTTGAAGGAAGTAAATCTTATCTAGTGGTCATGACTTAGTTCAAGATGATATTTAATCAATAGATCAATACACATAAAAAGTTTTACATAGGGGCTTTTTGATCAATAATTGTTAGCCACTCAATGGCTTTGAATTGTAAATGAATTGACAAGAGATTATCCAGAAGATATTTCAATTATTGTTAGAACCACTCCTAACAGTAAGTAAATAAGTGAATCTTCCTGGTCATTGATATGCAGTAAAGACAGTTAAGGGGGATGGACATTATAAATAAGAATGATGGATACATTTTGTTCCTGCTATCACAATTACTGTAAATTCAGTGACTTAAATTAGACAGACTTAATATCACAGCCCTGGAAGGAGAAAAGGCCTTACTCTACTAAATCAAACAGCTCCTTTATGTCAGGGACTTCTATGGAAGAATCTTTATCTTTTATAGCTTCTTCAGACAGCCTGTATTCCATGGGTCCTGGCTTCTTTCCATCTTCAAAGTCAGCAATGGCTTTGTTTTGCTTTACCAATGCTGCTTGCCTAAGACAAACTGTTAGGCCTCTGCCTGTTATATCTAAGTACCCTTGCAGTTACATTGGCTAGAATGATCAAGCATAATTTTGTGCTAAAATCCACCATGAGCAACCTTCATTCCACCTGAAACCTCAATTCTCTTTGCCCAAATAATATGTTTATGCATCCTGGGTATGAACTTGGGGGTGTTACTCTGTGAAACACTGGGTAGGTGCTTTAATTAATGAATATATGCACAAGCCCAGCAGCTCCAGCTTGTGCATAATGCCACTGCTGTTTTTCCCAGAAAGGTATTGCTACTTGGAATGAAAAACACGCATTCACAGCCTCGCGCATGCGCACGAACACACAGACACACACACACAGACACACACACACACATACACACACACCACCACCACAACCACAGCCACCATCATCACACTGTGACAGAATTGATTGTTGACCCAAACCTGTGATTGATTTACCAGTCCAGGTGTAGTTTGGTCTCCCTTTTGGAATAGGGGCAGTGGTGGAGGGTGTAATAAAGGTCCCACTTGAGATCCCTTAGAGACAGACATGCCCTCCTCCTATTCATGGTTGCATGAACCAGTGAAAAAATATGGGAGAACCAACAGGAACCTACTGGATGGCTGTTGCTAGGTCACCTGTCCCCTCTCAGGCTGCAGTATTAGCAGCCCCCCTCCCCTTCCACTGGCGTCATAAGGGTGGGGGAGCAGAGAGGAAGTGAAGGGAGGGAGGGGCAGGCACTGTCCAGCCTCGTTCTGAAGTGCAGATGTACCTAGGGGCCCACTCAGTATCCATCCGCTGCTCCCCAACTCCAGACATCTTCCATGTAGTCCCCCCTCCACCCTGTAGTCCTCTCCTCCCCAAAGCCCTCAGAGACCCTAACTCTCGGCCATCCCACACACTGTAGTGACCCCAGTGGTGGGTGGTCCCTGGTTAGGGTGAGCAGGGGGTCTGCAGACGCCCACGGGTGCTACCCACCCCCTCCCTCCGAGCGGGAGTGGGGCTGCCTCCGGCCCCGCCCACCCCGAGTCGGAACTACGGTGGGCCCGGGAGGGGGGCGTCGAGCCCCGTGCGCGTATCCCTCCGCCCCCTTCCCGACACCCTCGAGGCGAGCTGTGCCTGCCGCATCCTGCGCAGCAGCCCCTGCCCGTTTGGTGCAGAGGCGTGGGGGCGGGACGCGTCTCTGCCATTGCACTGGCGCGCAAAGCTGCGAGAGCCCAGTGAGACGAGCTGCTGCGGAGGACCGAGCCCAGCCAGGAGCCGACAGGGGACGCGGGGCAGCCCGGGGCCTGGGCCGTGCGCCTGGCCAGGCAAGTGGGGTCGTGTCGAGGGCTCGGGGCGGCCGCGCACCGCGGACCACCGCCCGGCCCTGACAGTGAGCGCGGCGGGGGCGATCGGGGCGCGGGGGCTCCCTGGAGTGGTGCGCGGTTCCCGGAGATCCTGGGCGGTGAGGAGCAAGCGGAATCCCGGATCGGGTCTCGGGCACGGGGCGGCTGAGCCGCTGGGTGTGAGGGTCTGGAGGCTGAGAGAGCAGACAGCCTGGCAGTTGGCTTCCCGGGGCTCCTGCCCCGCCCTCCTTGGTGTCTGGGGCCCCGCTAGGGTTATGGGGTAGGCGAATGCTGGGGAAATAACGGTGCAGTAGTGTGAGGGGCGCCCTGGGAGCCCACGGATCCAGGGGAGGCGGCTGCGGCAGAAATGGCGGTTTGGGAGGGGGGGCAGGAGCCCACCGTGAGGTGCGGGTGTGGTGCGGGGAGGGTGTCCAGTTCAGCTGGTGGTTGGAGAGTCGCCTAGGCTACTAGGGCTCTGATCTGTTTCCGGAGAGGGGCCCTTGTCCCCTGCGTCCTGGGTGCTGTCCCTTCCCACAGGCTCCCTGCTTGATGTCAAAGTCTCCTGTCTGCGTGGTAGGTCTGGAGTATTCTGACAGGCCACAGTGAGCATCTGTAGAACAGAGTCTTGAGGAAAGAGGAACAGGAAAATGGCGTGGATTTTTGGAGGTGTGTGGCAAAGGGAGTGGGCACCAGACAGTGAGTGGAGATGAGGAAAGGGGGGGGGTGACAAATCTGAACAAGTGGAGCATCCATTAGTGTCTTCTAATCTCATTTTTCACAGCCTTGCAGGTATTTCCCCCTGTGTCCTTCCCCTCCTTCCCAAATTTGGGGTCCGAAAAGATGGTTTGGGGATGATGACGGAGTCATAAATCCAAGGATCAATACAGAACCTGCTTTCTAGAATGTGCTGCACCCTTCCCCCATTTTTTTTTTTTTTTTTTTTTTTTTTGCTGCGCAAGGCAAGGAAATATGGCCACCTAGTGGTGAATCATCAGAATTGCAGCAGGACTAATAAGTATGACATCACGGAGGGGGTGTTACTTCAGCAACCCTGCAGGCAGGCAAAAGGATTCTAGAATGTTCCAGCAGTAGGACCCTAAATGCCAAAAGACACATCTGATTCTTATCCTTGATAGTGTTCTCAACAAGATCAGTTGCTGCCATCATTTCCCGATTGTCTTGCATATTCATCTCTTTGTCCACAGGCCTGCTTTAAGGCTGGTCATTTCTGAGAGAGGAAAGAAGACATCGAAGAGACTGTCTCAGATCTCTGGAGGTTGGTGAGAATCGGGAGCAGTGCAGAAGCCAGGTACTGAGGAAGCAACTGCAGACTGCTCTAACCCTAGAGGGGCATGATGGTCTTCACTGTCCCCAAAGTTGCCCACAGCTGCTGCCATCATTTCCCAATTGTATTACATTTTCATCTCTTTGTCCACAGGCCTGCCTTAAGGCTGGTCATTTCTGAGAGAGGAAAGAAGACATCGAAGAGACTGTCTCAGATCTCTGGAGGTTGGTGAGAATCGGGAGCAGTGCAGGAGCCAGGTACTGAGGAAGCAACTGCAGACTGCTCTAACCCTAGAGGGGCATGATGTCTTCACTGTCCCCAAAGTTGCCCACAGCTGCTGCCATCATTTCCCAATTGTATTACATTTTCATCTCTTTGTCCACAGGCCTGCTTTAAGGCTGGTCATTTCTGAGAGAAAGGAAGGAAGGCATCGAGGAGACTGTCTCAGATCTCTGGAGCCAGGTACTGAGGTGTCAAATGCAGACTGGTCTAACCCTAGAGGGTGGCCGATGTCTTTACTGTCACCTAAGTTTGCTCACTACCAAAACATCCTTTATTCTCTTTCACGGAGATAGATATGAGTTAGTCTGTGATCCACAGGACAAGAGCTGGGACTGGGGACAGAAACGTTAGACAGAAAGCAGGCGTAGATTTCTTGTTGTTTGTTTGGGGTTGGGGATGTGTGCCTATGAAGCAGGCACTAAGTCTCCTTTTCTTATATGCATTTGTAGGACTCCCCATCGCCAGCTGTTGGTCTTAACATCACTTGAACAAATAAAAAGGAGGGAATCGCACCACATCGGCGAAGGTTGGTATGGGAAGGTTTCCCTTTTAGATGGGGTAGTAGGGATCACTCAGAATGACTGTTGTGAGATTTGGGGGATCCCCTCTTTCTCCATTTCCAGTGTGTGTACATGCTGTCTCCTGAAGCCTGCACCTGTTTTCCTTCAGGCAAAAGGAACGTAGAGGTTTTCTCATAGCTGAGCTCTTCCACTCAGACTTATGCATCAGTGTCTCTGTGTGGCTGCTGTGGAAGGCAGCAGAATTGTATGAGACTGATTTCCTCTTTTTTCTCTTCCTAGATCACCTGCAGTAGCTGCTTGGTGTTGCTGGGTTGCTGCTGACCAGTGCAGTCAAGAGATCTGCACCCACCTAGGATTTGTCCATCTTCCTCCGGCTTGGCCTCACCTCTTCTGCACTCTGTTATTGACTGAGACTGCTTGGGTAGGAGCCTCCTTGAGTGCTGGCTTGTCACTCTGGTCTAATTCTTTTAGATCTCTTAGCCTATCTTACCAAAGAGTGTTGTGAAGATCAACCCTGTAACAACTCTACAGTGAAGGTTTACTGTTGTTAATTGGTATACATCGGGGCTTTATCTAACATATACTATGACTAGGGCAGAGATCGAGCCTGGTACCCAGGCAAAGGCTGAAAGTAAGCCTGGGGATGAGAATGCCAATACCAATACCAATGCTGCTGAGGGAGAGAGTGAAGCCCCATTGGTGGTCAGACCCAAGGTTAGAACACAGGTTATGACTGGAGCAAGGCCCAAAGTTAGGCCTAAGAGTACTCCTGCACCCAGACCTAAGAGTGAGGCCAGTTTACCAGGTGGGGCATATGCTAAATGCAAACCCAAGGCAATCCCTATTTCACGATCAAAGAATGATGCCCAAGTCTGGGCTCCAAATAGGTTTCGGGCAGAGCCCATGTCAAAGATGGGCAAGCAAAGTCAGATCAGTCCTGCTGACTCTCCACTGGTCAATACTGATTCTGGGGTGATTGCTCAAGCGAAGTGCCTCTCTGTAGATAGAGAACATGGTAATATGGACGCCGAGAGTTTTCCCAAAAAGGCTAATTCTCAAGCAGGATACCAGCCTTCCTTTGGTGCAGATGAGGGAACCAATATGGGGTCCTGGTACCGTTCCAGGCCTACCCCCAAAGGAGAGGCCTATGAGAATTCTGATTTCAGATGGGCAGACAAACCCTCAGGAAGTTCCACTTTCTGGAATAGGGATGAAAGTAATACAAGATTTCGTCCTAGGAAAAACATGAAGCCCAATAATACCAGGTTCAGACACATGGCCAAACAAGAGGCAAACACCATGTCTAGGCACAAAACCAAACAAGAGCTCTATAATATTTCTAGTTCTGATTCTGAAGAGGAGTCTGCTAAGACTCCCTGGTTCTGGGCCAAAGAGAAGCCCAAAGTCTGGTCTAGGCCCAGAGAAGAACCCAATAATAGGTCCTGGTTTAGGCCTAAGAAAGAAGTCCGTGTTGAATCCACTTCTGGGTCTGACTGTGAAAATCATACAAAACCTACGTTCTGGTCTGGAGAAGATGCCAAATCTAGATCCAAACCCAGAGCCAGGAAAGGGGTCAATATGAGGGCCAGGCACCAGGCCAAGCGAGAGGCTTGCAGTGATGGCCTATCTGGATCTGTAGATAAAAATAAAAAAGAGTCCTGGTCCTTCCATGAAGATAAGGCTAGTGCTTATTCAAAGTCGAAGCCAAAGAAAGAGCCCAAAACCAGAGCAGTGCCAAAGGAAGAAGTCAAAACTAAGACCAGAGCAAGTACCAAACAAGAAGCCAGGGCAGAGGAAGAAGTCTTCATTGGGGCTTGGTTCTGGGATACCCAGGAGTCCAGGATGGTAGATAGGATAAGCACCAAGTCTAGCCTACTTGTAGAGGAGGAGCCATTTGTTGGAGATTGGTTCTGGAGTGAAGAAGAAGCCAGTGTGGACTCTGAGACCTGTTGTAAATCCAGACCAAGGGCTAAGGAGGAACAAGTTAGTAGTTTTTCTTTAGGTTCTGGAAAGAAGACCAGTATGGAAAACGGGCTTAAGGCTACCTCTAAGTCTGTGCCTGTAGCTAATAAGGAGGAAAAGAACATTGTTGGCTCCTGGTTCTGGGCTGATGATGAAGATGTCAACTTACAGGCTGATGATGAGTCCATTTTTGGATCTTGGTTCTGGGGCATTGGGGAGAACAGCATGAGATCTGTTGGAGTCAGTTGTGAGAAGATGCCAAAGTGTGGGGACAAAGAAGTTACTGATTCATGGTTCTGGGCTGGAGAAGTCAATACAGAGGCTGAGGTTGAAGAGCAGACCAGGCCAGCATCTACAAAAGGGACAATCTTTGTGCCTTGGTTTTGGTCTGAAAAACAGGCACATGTGGATTTAGGGACTGAACCTTGCTCTGACATCATGGCAGGAGCTGAGGAGGAACCCATAATTGGGCCCTGGTTCTGGGCTAAAGTAGACACTAATGCAGAGGCTGAAGTTAACAGTAGGTCTAGCCTGGAGGATGAGGAAGAACCCATTATATCTCCTTGGTTTGGGGCCAGAGAACAAACCAATATGAAGTATGCAGCTGGTGCCAGATACAAGCCTATGGCAGAAGCAGAGGAAAATAATAAAAGGTCTGGCCTCTGGGCAAAAGAACCCAGTTTGTGTCCTGCCAATAGAGTAAGCTTGAAGTCTACTCTGAGAGAGCAAGAGAACACTGTTGATTCATGGCTCTGGTCCAATAATTATCCAAGGTCAGAGGCCATTGCAGGGTCCTGGTTATGGGCTGCAGAAGAGGGAAATATAGATAATGAGACCGGAGAAGAGATCAAGCTACCAACTTTAGAGGACAACATACTCAATTCTTGGTTCTGGAAGGAAAATGAAGAAACTATTGTACAGGCTGCCAACAGAGAGGAATCCAAGCCAGAAGCTGAAGAGGAAGACATCATTGGCTCTTGGTTTTGGGCTGGGGATGAGGACAGATTTAAGCCAGCTACTGAGATGAATGAAGAGAACAAGGTAACATCTGAAGAGGAAGATACAGTTGGATCCTGGCTCTGGGGCAAGGAAGAGGCTAGTCTAGAGGCAATGAGAAGGGGCACTTTTGAGTCTACTCCTGGAATTAAGGAGGAGGAAATTATTGGTTCATGGTTCTGGACCGAAGAAGCCAAAATAGGAGCTGGGTCGCATACAGTCGAAACTGGGTCAGAAACTGAAGAGGAGGCGATTTTTCAGTCTTTGATCTGGGCTGCAAAAAAGGACAATGCAGGAGTAAACCGTGTGTCCAAGTCAGAGGTTAGGGGTGAAAAGAATGTGATTGCCAGTGAGTCCAATCCAGAAAATGAGAAAGGGTCAAATGTTAAACTTGGGTCAAATGCAAAAGGTGAGGTGATTAACAAGACCAGCAGTGGAGATAACCGTGAATCTAATGCAGAAGCTGAAAACATAGTGGGATCCTGGTTCTGGGAAGGAGATGAAACTAGTTTTGAATCAAATCCTACTCCTGTATTCAAGGCCATTTGCAAGCCTAAGTCTTCAGCTGAGCAGGAACCTGATCCTTCCCGCAGACCCCAGAGCTGGGATGAGGTCACTGTTCAGTTTAAGCCTGGTCCATGGGGAAAGGCTGGCTTCCCATCCATAAGCCCCTTCAGGTTTCCAAAAGAAGCTGCATGTCTATTTGCTGAAATGTTTGGGGGAAAACCTAAGCAAGAAGGAGAGGAGGAATCTTCATGTCAGTCTGAAAATGAGTTCCCATTTCAGTATGATCCCTCTTACCGATCAGTCCAGGAAATTCGAGAGCATCTTAAGGTCAGGGAAAGTGTGCAGCCTGAGAGCTGGTCCTGTAGCTGCATACAGTGTGAGCTTCAAATTGGTTCTGAGGAGTTTGAGGAACTTCTTTTATTGATGGACAGAAACCGAGACCCTTTTATTCATGAAATATCTAAAATTGCAATGGGCATGAGAAGCGCTTCTCAGTTTACCCGAGATTTCATTAGAAACTCGGGTGTCATCTCACTTATCGAAGCCTTGCTTAACTATCCGTCCTCCCGAGTTAGGACAAGGTTTTTGGAGGATATGGTTAGCATGGCTCCGCCTTATCCAGATCTAAACATGATTGAGACATATGTCTGTCAGGTTTGTGAGGATACCTTTGATTATGACTTGGATTCCCCTGATCAGTTGTCTGGATTGACAATGATTACACACCTCAGTGCTACTTCTGACTACCACAAAGTGGTTGGCAATTATTTGACTGGGTTTTTCTACTTACTGAGTTCAGGCAATACCAAAACAAGGTTTCATGTTCTGAAATTGCTACTGAATTTGTCTGAAAATCTCGTGATGACAAAACGACTGCTTGCTACTGAATCCATGTCTGAATTTATGACCCTCTTTAGTAAGGAGGACTCAAATGACAATATTCAAATTGTTCTTGCGATATTTGACAAGATTAGCAAAAATGTACAGAAAGAAGCCCTGTTTGCTGCTGATGATGACGATGATGATGATGTGGTGGTGAATCTTGAACCACTTATTTCTGCTTTCCATGAGATTGAAAACTTTGCTAAAACACTAAAACGCAAAACTGACATTTAAAAATCACCCTGAAGCAGAACAAAACCATTTAATATGCTTAACCATTTGCCTATGATTGTCCTTGTGTTCCTGAGTCATATGGCCCTCAAGTAATGCTTTGGTTTCACAGCTAATTGTGTTTCAGTGTACCTCTTTAATGCTGGTGATAATTTTATCCAACTCTGTGTAAGTGTATCATTTTCTTGATGCCAAATGAATATACAACTGAAAACACGTTTGTTGGTGATACTTGTTTTGTTGGTTGTGCTGTTCAATATGTGAGTTTAAAGTGAACTGAGCCATTGTAAATAAGATACCCTTCTAATTGTTGTGCCCATGTGTATCTATTTGAGTCTTGTGCTCCAATAAAGTTATATGTTAAAGCTAGCAGAAATTTACCCTTTACTATAAAATAACAGATGCAATGATGCCACATGAACATTCACACAAATAATATATGAGTAACATGCTTGCTACAAAAGCTTCTTCTCATCATTAAATCTCAAAGGTTAGAATGGACTTCAATTTGGAGCATACTTCCGAGAGGACTCATTTTAACATATGCTCTAATTCAACTTATGATAAGGAGAAAATCATGGGGTAGGAAAAAGTGCTTCTGTATTTATATATCAAACTTCCTGGATTAGATTGGAGGCATATAAATTGGAGAAATATATTGAAAATCAGGTAAGTTTTGAAGAGCAAGTTGAACTTTGCTATTCAAAATACTATGTTCAAAATACAATCAGTGCAGCAAAAAGTACAAAATTTTAATTTAGTCAAAAGAATAATTACATCATGATGGTTTTAATATCACTTGATAAGACATTGTCAGGTAGCATTAGGGCTGGGGAGATGGCTCAGTATAAAGTGCTTGCTAGGCAAGCCTAATGTCCTCAGTTAGGACACCTATCACCCATGTAAAAATACAGAGATGTTCATGCATGTTTCTAATCGTGTTCAGGAGCTGAGACAGGAAGGCCTCAGGGGCTTTCTGGCCAACCAGGCTAGCCAATATGTGAACTTGAGGTTTTGTAAGAGACCCTGTCTCAAAAATGATTGCAGTAGAGGAAGAAATTTGATATAGTCCTCTGGCCTCTGCACATGAACACACGTACATACACCACATGCACAGCACATGAAGTAAAGTGTTAAACCACTGATTTTAAAATGCAGTAAGCCATACCCTTTTAATAATTTGTAAAGAATTGTGCACATGGAAATAATGAGAGCATCTAGGGTGAGTTGTATGAAAAAAGATTTTAAATAAATTAAGAATTATTACATTTAAAAAATAAATGTAGGTGGAGTAAATTTAGTCAAAGTATGTTATTTGTTTATGAAAATTCTACAGTTACACATACAAAACATCAAAAGAATAATGACACAATTCAGATCTGGGTTGTCAATAAAAGCATAAAATTATCTGTAAAACTGACAGTTTATTAATTCATTCCACACATTTTTATTGTTGTTTTTGGAGACAGGGTGTTTTGTAGCCCAGGCTAGCTTCAAACTTGGTATATACCTGGGATTCCATTTGAACTTCTAATGCTGTAATTACAGGTGGCTGTACTCAGATTCAGGCAGCACTGGGGTTGAACCTTCCTTCATGCATGATAAACAAGACTGATTTACTCCTCCAGTTCCACACAAAGTATCATTAATTCACAAAGGTTGTAGCATAGGCTCATAAGAGGAACATAAGGGGAAATATATAACATATGGGGAATATATAGCATTTTAAATATTTTATTGGCATATACAGAATAATGGGCTTCCTAATGATATTTGCATACATATGTATAATATATTTTGATCATATTAAACCCCATTACTCTTCTTCCACTCCCACTTCCAGTGAGCCCTTCCTTTTAAGCAGTTGGCCACGCCTGCCTTTTAAGTTCATTTTTATTTTCTGATGACCCACTGAGTTTAAAGTTATTTATGGGAGCATGGTCAAGTTTTCTTGGTTATGCCATGGATAAAAAAGCTTCTCTTGGCCCCAGCAACTATTAACTGGCTATAGAACCTCAGACAGTCATGGGAGTGTATTAGTTTCTTCATCAAGCAACTATTAATCGAGTAAATCCTCAGGGAATGGCAAGGCCTTAGTAGGAACACCCTTCTACAATAAAATGTCAAAGGCCCAATCTTGTGCAAATAACCACAGCTTCTGAGAGTTGCAGGGTGTAATAGTCCTGTCTTGCCCAGAAGACAGCATTTCACAACATCCCTTCCTCCAGCTCTTACATTCTTGTCCCCTTTTATACCGTATTTCCTGAGCTTTGGATGAGGTGACATAAATGTCCCATTTAGAGACGGACATTCAACAGTGACATTCTCAGCATTGTAACCAGTTATGTGTTTCTGCAGTAATTGTTGCCCAGTGCAAAAAGAAGTTGATGGGCTCTGCAAGGCTCAAGGGACTTGACTGGAGTGGTGAGGATGTAAAGAAAGGACAAACATGAATACAGAAAAGTTGGAATCAGGTGGGTTGTGCTTTTCTGATGGAGAAGCTACAGCACCCCAGAAGCTTGATGTGTTTATTACAGTTGAATAGGAAGGCAGAATTGTCAAATACAGCTAAATCAGGAGGTGGAGCTATTACGTGCAGAAAAACAAGGAGTTGGGATTATTGTATATAACTGAACAAAGTTTAGCTAATCTTGGCAACAGCAGTCTCTGTAAGGGAGGTAAACATCTATGGGAGAAAGTTGCAGTGGACATTTTCTGCACACACTCAACATTCACACTCAGACCAGAGAAAAACTTTGCCATCATCCATCCAAGCCACACCCAGGGAAGGCTTTGCCACTTTCACGGCATTGAGGCATTGGGGTCGTTGGGCATGGCCATGCCCATGTCAACAATACACATTCACTCAGGACTTCACTCACTCTCTACACCTCTCTGAACATAACTGACACAAAACTAATACATGGGCGTGCACTTTGGAGGGTTAGAAGGAGCAATAGTAGTTCAAGGTCAGTCTTGACTACCTAGGCAGGCAGTGGTGGCACATACACATTTAATCCCAGCACTCAGGAGGCAGAGTCAGTTGGATTTCTGTGAGTTTGAGGCCAGCCTGATCTACAAAGCAAGTTCCAAGACTTATATGGAATAATCCTTTTGTACACTGTGAAGATGTGCCTTTACCAAGGCATCTTGTGATTGTTTTAATAAAAAAGCTGACTAGTTATATAGGTGGGATAGCCAGACACAGGGAGAACTGGGAGGAAGAAGGGGGGAGTCTCAGGAGTCTCCAGCAGATGCAGAGAGAAGCAAGATGAAAGTGCTGTGTTGAAAGAAGGTACCGCCACTTGGCAGAGGGTAGATAAGAAATACGGGTTAATTTAAAATGTAAGAGCTAGTAACAAGCCTGAGCTGTTGACCAAGCCTCTATAATTAATATTAAGTCTCAGTGTGGTTATTTATGAGTAGCTTCCAGGTCATAGAGCCTACACATGACAGCCAAGGCTACATAGAGAAACCCTGTCTCTGAATTAAAAAAAAAAAAAAAAAAAAAAAAGAGGCAACAACAATAGGAAAACAAAAATACAAACTACAGAAACAAATATTTAGAAGGCATTTTGACAGGCATATCATGTCCACTTAGCAAAAAAATAACAGTAGATTGTCCTCCAGGGCTTATGCTCTCCTCAGTTACAGGCTTTTGACCAGGTTCACAATACTAACTGAATTCCCACCTGTGAAGCAGTCCTCAAATCCAGCCAGAAAGCATCTGGCTACCCCATAACAAACATACTTCTTGTTGCATCAGGGTAGGCTTATCTTGCCTGGCAGATCAACAGTATAGAATGTAGGGTAAACATCTAAGTAAGATTGTCAGTGACAATTTTATCTCAGCAATCTACATAGCACCTTCCAGAGCTATGAAAGGTAGCACGCAGGGGAGACCTTTCCAGCTACGTTCCAACTTGGTTTTTCTATGTCCTGCAAATGGTTAATTGTCTTCAGCAATAGGCTCTTACCATCTAATTACGATGGTCAACAAACCACAGTGGCAATAGCCTGTATTAAAGGAGGATGCACGAGCTTCCCTGGCCAACAACTCATTCTGAAGCACCCATCACTGGCACAGGAATTTTACTTATTAATAACATCATGGCTTCTGGAAGTTGTTTAGGATTTAACAAGCTTCCTTATGGCTTTTTCATATGTACTTAGTTTTGATTGACCCTCATGCTACAGCCTCCTTTCTTCTATCT